TGAAATATTGCATTTGAAATATTTCATTCACATTGCTGCTAGTGTGAAACCCCTATTAATAAAATTCTAGCAATGAAATAATAATGAAATTATAATCAAATAGGATGCTATAAGAAAGAATATAATCAACGAAAAAAAAAATATAGCAACTAATGTCAATAGAGACCAAAAAAGAAGAAAGAGAAAACAAAAATTCATCATTCTCGACAAATCGAAAGAACCGAAAACAAAAAAAAAATTATAATGTTGAATATATTTAATTGGACCACGTCGAATCAAAATAATAATGATGATGATGATGATGATAATTATATAATGCAAATGAACAAATACAAAAACAAAAAAATTACCCAGAAAATAAAAATAAGAAGAAAAAAAGAAAACGATACTTACGTGATGTGGAGCGTTAAGGTAACAATGTGGTACGGCTGTTGTTGGTGAACGTTGTATGCTAATTAACTGGCCAGGTTTCAATTGAACTGACATTCGTGATAACATTGTTCCTAATAAAATGTGAACAAATTACAAACAATATGTATATATGAATGGTAATAAAATAAAGAATCGATACATGAATTTAACAAAATACTTGAATAATTTATTATACACACACTAAACATTTTGTATATAAACAAACAAACAAACAAGATAAAGTTGAGATTCGACGATAAAAAATAATAATAATTTTGATACTGATACTGATTCTGATCATCATCATCATTAAGTTAGATAACTGTTTTTTTTTGTTGTGATCAATTTTCTTTTTATCATAAATTTCATCATAACAAAATTATGAAAATTTTCTTCTTGATAAAATTCATCATGATTGAAAGGGGGTAAAAACAAGAATGAATTTTTTCAAATTTACAAAATAGACCATTCAATTCAAGCCTTTTTTCCTATCAATAATAATAGTTTATTGTTTTTTTTTTTGGCTAAAACATATTGGTGTGTGTGTCTGTTTGAAAAAAAATTCGTCGATTTAAATTTTTTTCAATATTTTCGTAACTCGATCCGATTTTCTTAATATCTATTCGATATAAGTTTTTCTTTTGCTTTTTTGTTGCGATCATTTAAGCATAATGTAAAGCATGTGTGAATGGTTCAATATTTTAATAATGATTTTTTGTTTTGTTTTTCTTATCGTTGCAATAATGTTTCAAATTTTAAAAAAAGAAATTGCGAAGTAAAATGGAAAATGAAGATTAAACCAAATTGAAAATGTAAATTATCAGCTCAAATATTGTGAAAAAACTATGTGTACTTTTCCTATAAGATGGGGCTTGGCTGCCAAGACCGATTTATGTAAATGAATTCTGTGATGCTAAAAAAAACAACGACAAAAAATAATAACAAAAATTTAAAGCCATTGAAAATCAAAGTCAAAAGTTTTGAAGTTTGATAAAAACATAAATTCTGTCAGATAAATAAAGTTGTTATATTATCAAAAACTATCAATCAGTTACGGTTGGAATAATATTATCGCTTTTTTTCATTTTTTTTATTTACGAATTTTTAAAGATTTGATAAATGTTGAAGAAAAAAAAAACAAATCGATTCTCACCTGATCTAGGTCGGCCAGCATAATTATCGACTTTTGTCAATTCGGATATGGGCAAAAATTTGGCAAAATTTTCTTTTGCAACAAAATATCGTCGTCCATCGACAGTTCCATCACCAGATCCGATTGCATTGTCCTATACGTAAATTTTTTTCTCTTCAAATTTTTTCTATTACAATCAAACGATATCACTTACAAATTCGATACCAACGGTCCAATCAGATGATATCTGTGGCATACGACCAATCCATCTAACAATACCAAATTCTGGTCCTGATGATTTAACCCAGGCAACTCTTTCGCCCAATGAAAGTGTTGGAGCAATTGGTTCGGCAAATAAAGGATCATCTGATGATGAACTTTCTTCCGGTGCTGTTGGACTCAAAACTATTTAATTTAAAATGTTCATATTGATTGCCAATAAAAAAACATAGAAAAAAAGAAAGAGGAGAAGGAATTTAAAAGAAAAAAAATGGTGCAAAGTTAGAGATATTATAAATAAATACGATAATTTAATATGTCCCGTGGGAGAATTAGATGAACAAAACAAAAACAAAAATTACATAGATTTTATGGAAGATGATAATAATATTGGTTAGGAAAATAAAAAAAAAAAGAAGATAAAATAGAAACATCATTCAGCCAAGCGAAAATAAGCCAAAATGAATACTACCAACAACAACAACAACAACAACAACAAAAAGTATTATGGAACAACAACAACAACATCATATTACACAGTTGTACAATGTACCAGAAAATCCAAATAACTTTTTTTTTGTCGAATAAAACAAAATAGTTTTGGTCGTTTCGAAATATTGGCTTTAATTATATTAATGTTCGTGTGTGTGTGTGTGTACATACATTGCCATTTGAAAATAAATGGATGGTAAAGAAAATGAAGAATAAAATAAAAAAAAGAGAGGGTGATATGTAACAAAGTTAAATGAAAAAATATAAAAAATAAAAAACACATAGATATCCAGATAGAGTTTTTTCTTTTCTTTTTTTAATAAATATGATAACCAAAGCTTGAATATGAACATAAATCCATATTATAGAAGAAAAAGAAGAAAAAACCTATTGACTTAACGATGGACAAGAATTCCAAATCTGAAAACATGCATGCATCATACTATAATTCTATTATGAATATAAGAATAAATGTTTGTCAAAAAGACCAAAAAAAAAAACGTTTCATTAATAACATAGATGGATGAAAATTGGCCATCGTGACAGTGTTTTTTTGGGGTAGAGAAATACTGTAATCAAAAAAATCTATTGTTATATCAGCAGCTTAATTAGTTGATCCATAATAATTTATGCACACAAACATAACTTTCAAATGAAAACAAAAAGAAACGTTTGTCAATGGAAAGAATATATAAGAAGATCAGAATGGAATTTCCATGGAATACTTTTATCGTATACAAGATCGATCAATTCGAAAATGTATATGAAAAGAAAAAAAAATAACAAGAAAAGTATTAGTATCACCATCCAGACAGTTAAACATATTCCAAATTAATTCTGCAACAGTTTTTGACTTGAAATCTATGGAGAAATCTATCTATCTTGTCGTGAAACAAGAAAAGAAAGATGAACATAATATTTTCAATTCGAATTCTTCGATCATGAAAATCATGAAAATGATGGTAATATATTTCAAAGAGAGAGAAAAAAAGCAAACAAGAAAATGAAAATAGCAATCGATCATTTGGTTTTTGATAATTCCATCAAATGAATGTATCAAAGAATCAAACACCATTGCTTTGGCATAGAATTCAAAACTTGTTTGAAAATGTTTTTCTTTTTTGTGTATGTGTGTGTGTGTGCAAACGTTTTGTCACACTTACATAAGCACAGTCCAACAGAAAAAAATAACCAACAAGGCCCTGGAACAAACACATTGGACCCAAATTATTCCCAAATGGGACCAAAAAAAAGTGAAAAAAGAAAAAGGAAAAAAAGTAAAATCAAAATAAATAAATAAAATCAAGAGAAAAAAAAATTGATTCATAATCAATTGACCTGAACGGCAATAAATGATTAGATTTCGTTCTTTCTTTTTTTTTGTTTCATTGATGTTTTAATGTCTCCAACAACAACAACAACAACAACAAAAAGTTACGATGTTAGCAACAAAGCAACCGAAACAAAAAGACTGAATAAATAAATGACTAAATAGAATGAATGAATGGCTAACAACAAAAAAAAAATCGATCAAAATACCGAAAATCATTACATCACTTCCTTTTATTCAATATTCAGTTGAGCAATTCATTTGAAAAAAATCTCGTTTTTTTTTCTCACAAACAATCACTTTCCATCAATTGGAATTGGAATGAAATGATTTTTTTGCAGCCATACACACATCAAACATTGACAATCCATTGAAGGAATTTAAAACTTTTTTTTCTTGAAAAAAAAGATCAAAGATCTTGTAAGAGAGAAAGAAAAAAAAATTGAAATAAAAAACTTTGACGACAAGATTTCATTTTCGTTGAAAAAAAGATTTGAAAAGTGTTAGGAAAAATTTGATAGAAAATTTTTCATGACATTAAAATCCGTTTTTCTTTTTTGGATGTGCTCGAAATTTGATCAAATCAAGACATATATACAGTCAGATAGACAGACATATAGATCATTTTTTCTGGGCTAATTTTGCTTACGAAAAAAAAGTAAAGAACATGAAATTGATTCAATTTTTAACCATTGATTGCAGATTGCTTTGTCTGTCGTTGTATGTTTGAATCAAATGACATCTTCTTGGAAAAAAACTCTAAGAATTAAATATATATAAAAAAACAGAAATGAATTGAAATGGAGAAGAATTTTTTTAAGTTGAAAACCGATAGTAAACTAATTTCAAATAATAAAAAAAGCTGTGTGTGTGTGTGTGTGTAGCTTTGATTCACTTGATTCTTTACCGCAATTGTTGTATACATTAAATGATTGTCATCATCAAGAATAAGAAAAAAAATAAGGAATTTTTTTCCCTTCTTTTTCTCTATTTAACAAAAGGAATTCTAAGAATATTTTCATTTGATACGATTATTTTCAATGATGATGATGATGATGATGAATAAGATGAAAACAACCTCGACAATAACAACAACAACAACAACAATGGCCAACCGAATTCGATAATTCTTATATGAAAAACAGTATACATGCAGACATATAGTATACAGACACACACACACACACATACAAACCAATGGATCCAGAATAAACAAGAAATGGAAAATGAAAGGGGGATACCAAATAATGATGATATATGAAAAAAATATTACACACAAACACACATATACAAACGATCCGCAAACCAATGTCCATGTATCTTAAATGTATGTGTCTAGAATACTGATTAGTAACGATTCCAGGGCACTGGAAAATTTTCGTATAAACAACAACAACAAAAAACATACAAACACATCAGTAAAGTAAAAGACAAACATTCCGAAAAAAAATTTAGCACCACAATGTTCATATACACGCATATATATCTCAGACCAAAAAAAAAATCACAGCCCATTTGTCTTCTATATTTTTTTTATATTTCATTTTACACTAAACATACAGTTTTATTCGAATTTCTTGCTTCATGAATCCAATTTGGTAATAATAAATGAAAAAGATAATGTTTAAAAAAAACAAAAATAATAATAAATGAATCTACATTAAATGGATAAGAAAAATAAGATTCAAAAATCAAGAAATCAAAAAAGAAAAGAAAATCCAAAAAATATTATTACATCTTTTATACTTCAAAAATTTTTCATATGCATAAAACAAACACAAATTATTTTGAAATGATCATAATATGAATAAAAATAGTTACATCAAAATGTAAAACAACAGAAATTAATTAGATAAAATAAACTTGTTTACAAACAAAAAATATTTTCAAAATTCTAGGAAATTAACGGTGAAAAAAAATATATGAAAATTGTTTATCTGGATGTGGTCAGATATCATTATAATAGCAAAGAATAAAAAAAATTTCGTAACACACATAATGAGTTCAGCTGGATATTGTTGTTGAGGAATCTAAACAGGGAAAAAATTGTAAAGAAAAATCTGTCGTTTTACCGGTCTGGTACTTAACTGGTATTTTTTCCCTCGCTAATAATTGGGATGTTTAATGTTCTTATGGACAAAGCATAGCAGAAAAAAAATTAAAGCAAACATCACTCACACAAACACAGACAAAAGATAATATAGAATTCTATCTCAAGTGGAAATGGAAATTTTAGCATTTTGAAAACGAAAATAAATAAACTAAAGTTATATATGAGAAAAAAAAGAATGAGAAATTGGTTTCATAAATGAAACTTGATCCACACAATATTTAGCAAATGAACATATATTTAACATCTGAGCACCAAAAAAAATAAAAACTTTGGATAATTCAATTTTATTTATTACAATAATAATAATTATTATTATATTGTGTATTTGAAACGAACCAAATCTATTCTGCTTTAGGATAATAATGATGATATGGGTCGAAATTGAAAAAAAAGAGCAATAGATCAATCTAAAATCATCATCATCAACAAAAAAGTGGGAATAAATTTTAATTTATAATTTCAAGAATAATAATAATTTTCTCTCTCATTTTATTCACATTGAACATTTTGATGTCTTCTTTCTTTCTTTTTTTCTATTCGATTGTTATTATAATTTTATTATCATTATTATTATTATTATCATCATCATTATTTATTGATTGTATCTCATTAAAAATGATGAACTACAGTGATAAAATGCGACAGCATCCAATTTGGCGATATATTCGGGGTAAAAGTAAAAAAAGGAACATGATTATCTTCAATGAAAAGAATGTATAAATGAAAATATTATTATTATCTAAAATAAAGATCTGATGGAAATTCATAAAACATCGATATTCAATGTCAAAAGAATATTGATTGAAAATATTTTAATCAATTTTTTTTTGAAAAAAAATTAATATAAAACTCAAGATATGGAAATGTATTCAAGGCCAAAATCATATTTCAAAAAAAAAAGACAAATAATATTCATTGATAAATTTCCAAACATTCTTTAGAGAATTGCAAAAAAAAAAATCCCAGAAAAAAAAACAAAAACAAACATTCCTAAGCAACGATGATAACCTATTACACAATGGCAAAATGGCTGATTTTTTTTTATTCATCCAAACATCTTGAATGGTTCTTGATGATGTCAACTTATTTTTTATTTTTTATTTTTTTGATAAGAATAATGATCGAATGGTGAAGCAAAAATAATATATAATTTAAATAAAAAAAATTTCAACCAACCTGAAAGCATTTGTCCAAATGTGCTATGACGTTTTTTAGCCAGATAAGAAGGCAATGCACGTACATCAATACTATGACGTGCACGACGAAATGAAGAATTAAAAAATGGTGTTATCGGTGGTTTACTTAATGTTGCTAGTTTTGCAGGTAATGTTGGAAGATCATTTAAATGATAAGATTCACTTGTCGTTGTTGATGTTGATGAATCATATGATTCTTTTACCATACGTAATGTTGTATGATGATGTTGTTTGAATAAACTGTTATTTGTTCCCGAACTGGAATGATCACCATGTCGTAACATTGATGAGACGGCTATAGATTTTCTTTTGGATTTCAAAATATTCGCTGTTATATTCATCTGGGAATGTAACTTATGACTTAGATAATCTGGTATACTACCGCTGCTATTTGTACGGCTAACATTACCACCAATATTATCTGTTTCTTGATGTTTTGATTGATTAGTTGTACATTTTGATGATGATAACGGCTTAAAAATTGGTTGTGGCGTTGTCGATGTTGATGGTGATATTGTTGATGGTGGTGGTGGTGGTAATGGTAATTCATCTTCATTCAAACTTTTCTCATTCAATATATCATGAGAAATTGGACTTTTTTCATTCGTATGTCCTGGAACAATACTTTTATCCAGTAATGGTAATGTATTTGGTGGTGGTTTCGGTAAATTTGGCATGTTTGGACTATCCAAATGTTGTTGTTGTTGTTGTTGATGAGTTATTGTTGTTGATGATGATGATGATGGCATTGAGGATCTATTTTTGTTATTGTTGTTAGCACCATCAGCAACCGAATCATTAATACTGAATGATACGGAATGACTAGAAGATCGAGGCGATAGTCTCTTGGGAGATAATAATAGTGATGATGATGCATATAACTGATGATGAGTGATCACATCCCGTTGATCACCACTATTACCAATACCATAATCAACATTATTGCTATCACCTTGTGAAGTATCGGATAGATATTTTCCATTTTCATCATTTTTCGAAAAATTCATTACGTTATGTTGTGATTAATATTAGTTTTTCTTTTCTGTGTACGTAATGATTTGTCCGTAATATTACATCGCAGTATTGATAAAATTAAGTTGAATTGAAGCGAATTTGAACTATATGAATAAACATAACATTGATTTCTGCTGTTGATGATAAAATAAGTTAGTCTATAAATTTTGTTTTTGGATCGATTGAGGAAGGAAGATTGAAAAAAAACCATATAAATCGAATTAGATTTTTTTTCTTGTAAAAAAATTATTTGTATTCAAAATCTATTCAATAATTGAATAGGGTCATACAATCCATAATTTTTCAATAAAAAAATGAAAAGTTTTTTTCCTAAAAAAGAGATAACTTGTGATTTTGAACTTATTTTCCTCAACATTTTTTTGGATAGCTGGTAACATAATGACCCAATGGTAAGAGCAAGGAAAAAATAGTCGATCAAAAAAAAAGTGCAAAATTTTTTTTTGAACAAAACTATAGTGTTGTGGGAGTTATAAGAATAAAATAGAGAGAAAAATAAGAATCTAATCCTCAATCAATCAAAACTTATCAATAAATCAATAATTGTATGATGAGAATAGCGAAACAAATATATATTCTGTTTGGAAAAACAATAAGAGTTAAGTTGGCAAGTTACAAGTCTCAACCATTCTTTCTAACTAAGTAAGAAAAAAATTTCATATATTGTTCATTGAAAATCATTTCATCTTGACATCCAAAACTAAACAATTCTTAGATGAGTTAATTTTGGATATCCAAAAAAAATCGATCATCAACAAAAAAATTCTCGTTTGAATCACTATGAATCTTTTAAGCAAAAAAAAATTGTGATTGAAATTGATGACTTGGGATTTTCTTTCTCTCTATAGTCATTTTGTTTCCCATTCATCCATCCAAACATCCCTGAATTGATTGTTGACTTTGAATGAAAAAAAAACAAAAAATGGAAAACATATTTATTTAAAATTCTTTATTTTATCTGCCATCTCGTGTATAGAATCGGTAATGTATAATTTGATTTAAATCATGAATGATTTTTATTATTATTATTCGAAATATATTTATTACGTCAGCAATTTTTTTTGTTGTTCATCTTTTTCTGATATCAAATGCATGTATCTAATAACATTAATGTTTTTTTTTTTTGTTGGTAAGGTCTATTATGAACTAAATGAGCATGAAAAAAATTGAAGATTTGGCATACACGTTGGCGATTGATAGGCGAGAACCAAACAACAATAATAACAAAAAAAGATGATTGCGTGTCTCGACAATTGACTCGATTCGATTTGTACGATTCATTGAGTTGAACCATTAAGAATGGATAATAACGATGGAGGAACGTTTATTCTTTTTTTCAATGGAAAACAGTGACGACAATCATCAAATATGCCTCACCTACGCCTGAAATATCCTGTTTTTGTTATTAAGCTTACATAGTGTATGGTATATTATGCAAGAATTTTCTTAATAATCATAACCAACAAGAAGAAAAAAAATAGAAATACCGACCGAATCAAACCCGAATCCAAATCGATTAATTATTGATAACTATCATGAATTTGTCGCCAATTTTATTCATTCATTCATACATTATACAATATAACAAGTTTCTAATATGAACAACAACCACTCGACAACTACATTCGAAACATTTATCATATAATTATAATAAACCTGGAAAAAATGTTTAAAAAAAAGTAATTAGAATAAATAGGTAAAATTATTTGAACACACACACACACACACACAAACACAGAGGCAATAAAATTCGTTCATAAACAAAACATAATATCATCATAGTAAATCTTCTTGAATATCCAACAACAAAAAAACTAGAATTATATATGAATCGATCAATTATTTATCAATGGAAACGAATTTGTTCATCGAATAATTCATTCACCATGATTTGGTCCATCAACAGCAAAACTATGATAAAATAATGAAATAAAAAAGGCATTTTTTCTTTGCCCTTTTCATATAACATTGGAAATTAATAATCACCACCAAACACCAGTCAACTATTTGAACCCGAATAAAGAAAAAAAATATAATATTAACAACAACAACAAAAAAGGAAATGTTTGGCCATTGTAACAAACAAACAGTAATCATTTCGGGGGGATTTTTTGTTTCTAATATCTTTTGATCAAGGATCGAATATTATTCCAGAATTGTGCATCATTTATATCTTTGGAGATTGATCAATGTTGTATTTTTCTTTTTCTTTTCTTCTTCTTTTTTTTTGCTATACAAACACACAAAGATAGAAAAATAAAATCTGATTTCAATTTAATCTAAGCGATAAGAAAATTTCCTTTCCGTTCTTGAAGATTTATATAACATACATATATAAAATTGATGAAAAATTCATCGATTATTCAAGTTATATTTATTTATTTATCTATTTTTCAGTTCAAGATATAAAAAACATACACGACATTAAAAATTTTTTTTGTTTGCTTAATAGAAGATGAAAAAAAAAGTAGGTGGATGGTTTTAGCTTTTATAAAAAGGGAGAGAGAGAGAAAAAAAAACTATATTTTATTATCAAAATAAATATAAAAAAAAATAGCTTTTGATGATGATACACACACGAATTCTAGTCCGAAAATACTATAATATATTTACTCATTCACGCATTTTTTGCTGAAGATTAATTACATTTTGTCAGTAAAGATTTATATTTCGATTTTTTTTTTGTTTTGTTTTGTTTTGTTTTTATATTCACTTGAAGAACCAATGTTGTCGATGATTCCTGTAATAATAACGATAATAATGATTGTATAAATGTGTAGAAAAAAATAAAATAAAATGATTCGATTTTTCCTATCAAAAATAATGATGATTTTCCAAATATATTTGTGCCCTTGGATAGAATGGATAGAAGAAAAAAAAATAACATTGAACGACATTGATCTTGGCTGATGAATGAATGGAACACAATGAATACAATCCAGCTGTGTTGGACAACAACAACAATAATAATAATGGAAAAAAAACTAGAATAGAAGTGAAAATGAGATTAAATTTAGATATTGAAATTTAGATATTCTGTTGTAATGTAATTTTCATTTATAATTTATAATAATTAATTGTCTATTTTTTCCCCCATTGCACACATAATTATAAATACTAAATTGTTAAATTCTTTAAATGAATGATAATTACGATGTTAGTAGTAATTATTATTATAAATGATAATTAACAGGAAAATAGTAATCGAAATAATACTTTTATTTTTCTCTTCTAATAATAAAAAAAAACAATCATCTGATGTTTATAATTGCAAATAGAATGAAACAAATAAATAAAGTTGTCATTATTTCTATATTTTTGTAAATCTAAATCGGATATCAAAAAATGAATGAATGATAATAAAAAGGAGTGTCATCATCATCATAATAATAATAAGCAATTTCAATAAACACCAAAAAAAAAAAATACAACTATAAACTAAACTACATATAATGATGATGATTGGTAAATTGCATCAGCAAAGAAACTATTTTAATTTTATTATTATGATTATACAATGTCCGATATATTGGGTGAATATAAAATAATTATCATCACTATAGTAATAATCATTATTATTTGTCTATGATGGAAAAAAATATATATATCGAAATAACGAATAAATGAATGTGAAAAATCCAATGATAATGATTATAATAGAAAAATATTAATAGTTGATGATTGGTGATGGTGGTTATGTGGTCGGTTAGTTGTTGTTTTACATCATCAATTCATCGAATTCATGATTACATGTTTTATTATTATTATTATTATTTTCTTGTTTGTTTGTTTTTTCAAACCCAGTTTGTTTGTTTGTTTGTGTTTCACATAGCCAATTATTTTATCAACACAACCATTGAACATTGCTTTTACATCAAACTAAATCATTTGGTCATGTCTGTTGTTTTATTTTTTATTTTCTCCCAAACACACACAAAAAACACTAATAATGAAAATAACATGGATTCTCATTTTGTTTTTTGTTTCAAAACACAAAGAAACAAAACTTTTACCGTTATTTTTTATATCATTAATATCCAAGGGAAAAATAACCAAGAACAACTAAGAAAAAAAAATAGCACCATATCTCAACATTAAAGATCATGATTTTGAAAGAGATGGGAAAAAAACTTGTCGATATTTTATACACCTAATAATAATCTTAAGACATTTTCCAAGAAAAATATGATCACCATTCATGACAGAATGTATCAATGAATCGATATCTTTATAAACAAACAAACAGTTTAATCAACAAGAATTTTTTTTTCCTAATCACAAATAACAAATAATAATGTTTGATCAATTTGAATTTGGACTACTTACAAATTTATGATGAATGACAATGTTATTATTGTTGATAATGATGAAAGACATTGTTTTTATGAGATGGGTAAACAATAATAATAATAATAAAACAACAAAAAATGTTCATTTTTTCATATGCTATAAATTCAGTTGAATTAGAATAAAAGATGGTCATCATATGATAAAATTCTTTTTCTTAATTATAGTGATCAAATTTTGTTGTTGTTGTCGATGATATTGTTAATGATGATTTGTGATGATAATTTTTTCTTTTTCTCTTTTGTTCTCACTATCGTTTCCTTCTTCTGCCATTTCGTTATCATTTTCATAATGATCATGATGATCATCATTATTATTAATATTTAGATATAAATTTATCATTTGATGATCATTGGATATCATAAAAATTGAAAAACAAACAAAACAAAAAAAAAATTCATTCAGAATTTATTTTATCACAGGTTTCAAACAACAACAACAACAAATATTTTCAAGTTTGTTTTTGCTTGTTGTTCTTTTCACTATTCAATTTCATATTTCAAAACAAAGAACAAATATTTACTTGGAACAAAAAAAAATTCAATTATTGGGCGAGGCATTTTGTTCCTGTTTTACTTTTGTTTATCAGAAAAAAAATCAAATGAAATTGTATTCGATAAAAAAAAGAATTGAATAAAGGGGGCGAAAAATTTCGATCAAAAGATAATGAATCAAACGTAAGAAAAA